TTTGGCTGCTTTTGCCTCTCCAGCCCCTTGTTTCCCCAGTTCCAGGGACGCTTTTCCCACATCAGCTGCTCCACGCCTTGTCCCTCCTGAACCTGCTCCCTTCCCTTTCCTCCCCTCAGCCTGGAACCAAGGGGTTTATATTAACTAGAAATTAATGAACAGTTAATCCAAGGTAAAGCCGAGTCACAGCCCCTCATCCCAACCTCCCCAGCTCCTGCCCCAGCCCTGGGAGTGTCCCAGGCCAGGAACCTGGGATAGTGGGAGGTGTCCCTGCCCATGGCAGGGGGAGGGCACTGGATGGGCTTTAAGGTCCCTTCCCACCCAAACCATTCCATGATTCCATCCACCCTCCCCCAGGATGAAGTTTCTTTGCCTTATTCAATAAAGGCAAAAAAACCCCAACCAACCCCCTGGAAAGATCCCACCAAAACAGAGCCTGAGAGGCTTTTCCCTCAGCTCCCAAGAGCACCTCCAGTGCCATTCCAGAGGGAAGCACAGCTGGAGCAGCGAGGCTCCTGCAGGTCTGGAGACTGGGAAGAGGAGGAGGAGGAGGAGGAGAAGGAGGCAGGGCTGGCACAGCCACAGCTGGGTGTGCAGCACAACAATGGAAAAGCCTCCGAGCACGGAATCCTGGCCCAGGAGCAGCAGGAAGCCAAAGGATCGTGTTTCACTCTGGAATTCTTCAGCCAGTTCCTTCCTCTCCCCTCCATCCTCCTCCTCTGGCCCCACGTGGCTGCTGGACAAGGGGGGGCAGAGCCCAGCACGTGCAGGAGGAGATTCCAAGGTGATTCCTGACGAGGCTCCAAATAAATGCAGGGGTGAGATTTTGGGATTCCTGCTCCCAGCAAGGAATTCTCCTCAGCTGCAGCCAAGGGGGCTCCAGGGAAACTCCGTGGGCATTGCCTGGAGATGGATGAGCTGCTCAGGCACTTGAGGGGCTCAGCAGGGCCTGGAGAGGATTCCAGAGGCAGCAGCTGGATCCAAGACTAATGGGAGAGCCAAGGGGAGCTCAGGGAGGAGCTGCTGGAATTCCAGGGAAACAGAGAAGGAACAACAGCCCAGATCCATCGTGTTCTGCAGGAGCTGGGCAGGGAAGATGCAAATCCAAGGCTGGGAGCACTCTGGGAAGGAGCTTTCCCAAAAAAGGGCTGCAGGAACCTCCCCAAATCTCCCAGATATTTGGGATTTGTTTCTTCCAGGGTATCCAATCCCAGGGCATGGGAGCCAGGCTGGAGAGCCAGGAGGATGAGGCCACATTCCCAGAGCTCCTGCACAGGCCTCTCCCTGCACTGCAGGAAAAACAGCAGCTCAAAGGGGCTCCCAACCCTCCCCTGGATTTATCCACAAAGCATCCAAGCTGCTCCACACCGGGAATAACTCCATGGAATAATCAGCCTCCAACACCCAAACCCTGCAATTCTGGGAGCTGAAACAAGGCCTGATCCCTTGCTGGATATTTGGGAAGGCAGCTCAGGGGGATCCACTCCCTCCTCTCCAGGGATTTCAAACACATCCCACTGGGATGGAAAACCAAGCTGGTTCATTTTGGGGAATTTCTGGGAAGTTTTAAACTTCCAGCATTTCCCACTCCTGCCTCCCTCCAGCTTGGCTGGGTTTAGTTATGTGACAGCAGGGACAACTCCTGAGCTGCTCCAGAGCAGGGAAATCATGGAATCCCAGCAGGGATTCGTGGTGTTCTCCCAAAACACCGCCCTGAGTCCTGCAGGGATCCCTGGGGGATTCCCAGCTTCCCACAGACAACCCCAGGCCTGCACAGCCCATTCCAGCCTCATCCCAAGGGATGCAGGGCTGCACCTGGGGGCATTCCTGGTCCTCCCAGCCCATTCCCTGGATATTTTGGCTTTTCCCTGTTTTTCGTCCTTTCCACTACCAGGATCCCAAGCATGGAGAGGAAACCGAGCCTGGGCCCAGCCCAGGGTGCAAACACCTTCCCCCTCCAGTTTTGGGAGGAATTTCGGGATCTGTCCCTATTTTTTAAGTTTCCAAGTTCCCTCACAGCAGGACCTGGAATGTTCAGGCAGCACCTCCATCCCCATTCCCGACGTTGTCCACCCAAAACGAGGCCACTGCCGTCTCCTGCAGGCCCCGTGGGAGCAGGGGAGCTATTCCAGGAGCACCCTGAGCCAA